GCCACTTTCAAAAGTTTGGCCTCTTCACCCCAGAATGGTTTCCTTAGAGAATCATGGCATTGAAAACAAGGCCTGTTTAGAATTGGGAAAAAAAAGTGTTAGTGCCTAGATAAATTGGTCTATTATATTTGTCATCTTCAGAGCCTTCCTCCAATGGAACTTGCCAACTGAAATTATGCCACAGGGTCTATCATTTTATGGATTGCTAATTTGTTGACAGGCAGCAGAAATAAAACACTTCTTTGTGTTGGACAAAATGTTTTTTAACACATATAAATGATCCTAACCAAAAGGTTAACAGGTGATCAAGGTCGCAGATTACATAAAACTGTAAACCAAAAGCCACGGGGCTCCAAAAAGATCTCTCTAAACTGGGAGAGTATTTTTTTTTAAAATGCAAATTAGGTTGTTTAAGAAAGTCTAAACTATATGAATGAATAACAGTATAGTCAAATGATTGATTAACAATGATAATAAATGTATTTAGAAATATCTATTTGATAATATGAGAATATATACAATCGTGAGGACTATGGAGAAGACGCACAAAAAATTTGTAACCAACCGACACACTATATGTATGTAATTGGAATATGGCTTTATGTTTTTATGTTTTGTCTGTGTATGTTTGTTTAAAAATAAAAAATAATTATAAAAAAAGGAAGTCTAATGTGATGCATGATGAGGTAATCAAAGCTGATGGGGGTCTGTTTAATAAATCAGAAAAAATATCTTCAGAGTCATAGGGGATCCCTCAGTGAAGATGTTGACTTAGTACGCAAAAGCTGTAAGTCAAACAAATTCTATACTAAGATGTACAACTATGGAAGAATAATGAAATCTCCACAGTAGAGGAATGGATTACAAAAATGGCAGCATTTGCAGAAATGGCAAAACATCTATTTGGTAAGAGAGAGAAAGAACCAAAACTTTTCTGAAAGACTGGAAACTTTATAGGGAGTTTTTCTGAAAGAAGAAAAAAATGATTTATACATTTGAAGAATAAGATGTGGATTAAATAAAGCACTAAAGGGGCTTGTGCTATGTCTAAAAGGAAGGAGAAACAATAAGTTTGTAATTATTTGTTGGAAAGGTTGGAAGTCATTCATATACTGAACTTTATTTTTTTCTTTATTGTTTCTTGTACTTCGTTTTTCTTTCTTTCCCTTTTCTTTCTACTTCTTTTTATATGTCTTATTATTTTGTGAAAAATATTATTTGTATGTGTGTGTGTGTGCACGTGTGTGTGTGTGTGTGTGTATATGTGTGTGTGTGTATGTATGTATGTATGTATGTATGTATATGTATATGTATATGTATATGTATATGTGTATATATATATATATATATATATATATATATATATATATATATATATATTTTCTGAGGTTCTCGCGGGTATTTGTATGTGGATCTTTGGTTGTTCGGGTTTTCTCCCGCGTAAGATTCAAAGTATCTAGGCAACGTTTCGATGAAGTCTCATTTATCATCTTCAGGCTTCTGTCTCCGGCTCTGTGCCTCTCAGAGTGATGTGAGATTGCAGCTGCTTCTTCCTTTTAACTGCTAGTGGGGGTGGGACTTGATTGGGTGGGGGCTTGGCTGTGAGACTTCATCGAAACGTTGCCTAGATACTTCGAATCTTACGCGGGAGAAAACCCGAACAACCAAAGATCCACATACAAATACCCGCGAGAACCTCAGAATATATATATATATATATATATATATATATATAGAACCAATTCTATATTAAGAATTATTAGAAATCTTTGAAAAAGGAAAAAAGGAAGATCTGAGGGGGGGAAAGCATAATGGAACAACTAAAATGATCAGAGGGCTCAAATACCTTTAATATGAGAAGACAGAAATGTTTGAAATTCTTTAACTTGGATAAAAGATGAGTAGATGAAAACATCAAAGTATACAAAATCATGCCTAAGTTGCATAAAATGAGCAGGAAGTTTCTTTCCTTTCTCTCAGAAATTTAAAACCACAGAATATTAAATAAATGTTTTGGAAGATCTACAATACAGAAAAGAAAGTACTTTTTGATGCAGGAGATAATTTGTAGAATTTATTACCACAGGTCATGGTGATGGCCATTAACTTAGGTGGCTTTAAAAGGTGGTGGAGAAATTTATGGTGGTCATGAGTTCTCAAAGGCCTTGAAGACTTTATGTGACCCTTAAACTCTAGTTGCAGTGAAAAAAAACCAGCTGGGGATGCATAGTTCCAACTGATGCCTGTGAGCATTGGGACATCTGGTTGATTGCTAGGAGGAGCAAAATACTGGATTAAAAAGACTTCGGCTTGATCCCGCAAAGCTACTGTTATTCTTAGTTGAAGGAGTAATAGTTTGTGGTATAGATGGATATAGCCAAATATATGGGTTTGTTAAGAAGAGAAAAGGAAAATTCTGGAAAAAGGCCAACTGTCCTTCCTTAGGAATGCTGCTCTTTAGCCTGGATTCTTGTCCATTTAAATTAGAAGTACATATATTATCAATCTCAAAAGTCCTGACAGTAAAAAAAACACAGCAAAATAGATCAGAGGAAGGTAGGCAGCTTATTCTTGGGGGTTGAGATGCTGCTTTCCCATAGTTTGTCACGTCTTTGTAGAAGCCAGTCTCTTTAACCGTTGGATAAGGTCAGGTCAAGAATCAAATAAATCTCTCTGGATGATTTCATGTTTACAATCCTCTAAATAGATCTGATGCTACTGTCACATGGAGAGATATCAGCTTCATAATCTTAAAATAAAGAGTAAACAGGCTAAACTCTTCCCCAGCATTTGAACAAATGTTTTTACTCCTTTTGAAAATCACAAGGTAGCTTGAAGCCCTCCCTTTGGTCCAAAGTGATTCTGTCTATGCCAAAGGTTGCCAAAAGACTTGGGTTCAGCTTTCTTGAACTTCATATGGACACTTAGAGTTGACACACAAATAAGTGATAATGCACATATGCCTGATTTTTAAAGATAAGGATCAAATTATATGTATTCTTTTGCCATCCAGTTATTTTCTGCCTATTACATCTAGATCCTGGTATTAGGGCATAATTAAATACCACAGTATGCTGCAATCAAAATTTAAATCAATAATTGCACCATGTTTTTTTTTGCTTTGTCTCAAAAACAAGCTCTGGCAAGCAGGGGAAAGATGAAATTCTAGTAATACATACTAAGTTAGGCATATTTCATATGAGCATTTTATTAGTTAATTTTATTTTTTCAGCACACAGTTGCTGTCCTTTAAATGAAAGCTATTTAACAAACCACCCCCTCAATGGGGGAAACATTGTTGCACACACACACACACACACACACACACACACAGAATTAACGAGTGAACAATTTTGGGAATTATTCCCTGAAATTAAATACATAACTTTTAAATTGACTGAAATTGTTCCATGTTGAAAGAAGTGGGAAAGCGAGGGGAGGATTTCTTCATATCACAGAAGCAATTCCCATTTAAGTCATAGAAAAAGTCATTTTGTATATTTGTATCTATTTCCTTTTTGGTAAATACTGATAATAAATACTATTCTAGCCGAGGGGATTAAAACAGAAAAAGATTGGCATTATGCACTTGCCTGAAACATAGTAAGATGTTTAAACTGCAACTTAAATTACTTCTATATAAAGCTTAATGGAAGAAACTGTATGAATTCTGATGATGATTAATGTGTTTATTTCATAAACCACAATAATGATGTCTGTCCTGGATGCATATGACTTCACTGTGTGTGGAATTCATGTAGTTTCCTTTAAGGAGAGGCATCTCTCTCTATAAAAAAGTTTCCCTTGTCTTAAACAGTTTTGAAAATGGGATGAGAAACAAACAATAAGCAGGTTTTTCACACAAATTATTTTTCTGAAAGTATCAGCATTTTCATTTAGAATTCTTAACATATATTGCCTCTTCCCCATTTTTTATTTTAGAAGTCCAGTAGGATATTCCTGTTGTGTCAGTAATGTGTCAGTAATGTGTCTCGTGGAGTACAGGTAGTTCTCAACTTACAACCATTCATTTAGCGATCATTCAAAGTTACAACAGCAATGGAAATAGTAAATTACAATCAGTCCTCACACTTATGACCATTGCAGCATCCCCACAGTCACATAATCAAAATGTGGATGCTTGGTAACCAGCATGTATTTATGACAGTTGCGGCAACCTGGGGTTGATTGTCATTTGTGACCAATCATATAAGCAGTCAGTCGTGTAGTTGGATTATTTAACAACCTCATGATTTACTTAATAACTGCAATGTTTTGCTTAATAGCCATGGCAAAAATGGTAACAAAATTGGGTGTGACTTACTTGCTTAGTAATAGAAATTCTGTTCCCAATTGTGTTCATAAGTCAAAGACTACCTCTAGTTTCTTTTACCACTGCAAGATAGAAAACTTTCCACTCCCTGCCAGTTTGGTTAGTGGTTGACCATCTTGAGTTACTGTATTTGCTTGCCACGTTATACAGCAACTACCCACTTAGCTTTGAAAGTCTTCCAAGGCAACAGCAGTAATTGAATTCCAGAGCAAAAGATGAGAAATAAACAGTTGTTATTTACAATTCGTATTTGGAAAACAAATTGCTATAATATCTGATCCAGCTAGTTGCAAAGCGATTTTCACTGTTTTGTACCTTTTTTATTTATGAGATAACCATTATAAATATTAAAATAAAAATAAATTCTAACAAAGATGAATTTAAAAATGTAGAGTTGGAAAACCTGCCAGATTCACTGGCAGAGGAGAAATCCAATTAACAGCGATGGCTAGCCATTCTACAAATGTATTTTATGTTGCATCCAAAGGATTTTAGCTGCACATTATTTTATTCTAGGAAAAGGCTTCCTTACAGGAACACATGAGAACACATTAAAATAAGCTGTATGAACTCAAGTCCTACATTAATACTAATAGGGTAACAAAAAGATTGAGATGGCTAGAGAAGATCAAATACGGAAAGAACTATTCTATTCTGTTCTGTTCTGTTCCATTCCATTCCATTCCATTCTGTCCTTCTTTTATAGGTCTGGAAGTGTTACATTTAAAATGAAGAATCAAGGAAGATAACATTTCCAGATATCAGCAGGGGCTGGTTTTTTCTAATTCCTTTGCAACAACTAAAATCAACATACTAGTTCCCGCTAATACTGATCATTCTAATTTTATGAAATGTCTTGAAAAAGATGTCTTCAGGTTCTAAAAGCATTTTGAATGAAAGGGGAGAAAAACAAAAATGCTTGCTTTGATCAAAGCTATAGAAAAAAAGATCAACAACATGCAGAATGAGAGCTACAGGCAGTATAAACTAATTGATTTAATGGTCAAGATCTCCTTTATCAGAACTATAAAGTTTAATTGTGTGTGTGTGTGTGTGTGTGTGTGTGTGTGTGTGTGTGTGTGT